ACTCTAATAAATTCAGTGATCACCGTTGGACTTTATTTGTGTATTTTTGAAACAAGCTGTTCCACTATTATGGAAACCAGTGCAAAGAAAACCCATTTATTAGAGTAAAGGTAAATCAGTTGACAGAACAACAGGAGGATGAAATTGCTGTTTCATTTTCATGTATAACAAATGAAGGAAAACTATTATTCCCCCCACCACCACCAACTTACAAGACATTTTTGACATTTTGCTTCATGCCCTTACATGCAAAACACCTCGGTGCATTATTGTCAAATTAATTTTGATAGCTKAGTAAAATGGTCTCTGAAAAAGAAAAAAAAAAGAATTGACACTCTCTACATCACAACGCCATGAAAATTGCYTTTTTTTCCCTTGTATGTGTTGCTCTCTGTGAGCTTGTTTTATGCCTCCAGGATTAGGTGTGGTGTGAAATCTGCAGGAGGGAGTTATGGCACAAAGATAGAGCCCTTGCCATTTTCTCTGCCTTTTTTTTTTTTTTACTACAAACAACAACCCACATGTATACACAAAGGTGTTTGAGTTGCCAGCAGTATTAAAGCTAAAGCTGAATATATACTTGACCACTTTAACTACCATTTGGTTGGCATTAAAACGATAGTTTCAATTTTTTGAGGTAGGTTTGTTTAGAAAAATAGCTCTTGAAAGACACTGATTTCAGAAATAAAATATAAATTTGACTGATTTGATGAGTTACCACTAGTCAGAGCAAGCCAACTGCTGCTTTTTCAAGCAACTTTCATCCAAAAAACATATTTTCTAAACCTTTAAACTGATCGAATTTTACATCACGTTATTTATGTGACGTTATTTGGGTTGTTTATAACAGTAAAGTRTGCAGCAGCAGCTAGCTGTAGTGCTGATGCACCTCTGCAATAAATATCTAATTTCTGGCTGAATGTGTTGTAAAGTTAACGTCAAAGTAAAAAAGGTTTATAAAATTAAGTAGTATGTCATTTTTAGTTTATTTTCTAGTGATATGAACTATTTATATGCGCGTGTATGATTTTTAGGACTAATCTGTTTGTTTATTCATCCATTTTTTGTGAATTGCCCTTTCAAATGTGTAGTTTTTCACTTTATTTAATGCATTTAAAAATATACATATTTTTTTATATTTTGCTAAACAGAGCTCATCTGATAAATCTACCTGAATCCCACAAAGCTTTTAAAACAACAAGCTTTATAATCTGCCTCTAAAAGTCCCCACCATTACCACACCCCCTCATAACCCATACAATTAAAGTGAAAAAAAAAGAAGAAAAGAGCCAAGAAATGCTTCTGATTATGCACCAAATTCCTTTTAAAATAATTACAAAAATGGTCAGGGCAAAGCTAATGAGCGTGTGTGGTTTAAATTATAATTTTGAAATCTAATTTCAATGGGATATTTTTGTTCTAGTGTTAATCTGGCTACCTGCCCAGGGTGTAGGATGCCCTGCCTCTCGCCAAATGTCAGCTAGGATAGTCTCCAGGACTGCCCTCCACCCCCATCACTATAAATGGGTACAATGGATGGATGGGTAATATTTTTTTCTGTTCAAGCTGCTCTATAAAAGGAAGCTACAGATAGATTTTTTTTCTTCTTCTATTTTTTATCAAAGCAATTTTGGTTTATTTAAGCAAATGGGTAAAAAAATACAATTTGAAATGCAGAAACAAAAAAAGAAAAATCTTACATGAAGATTACAATCTTCTAACAAAAGTGTCTGAAAAGTAAAAATCACCTGAAATTGTACTAAGAAAATGTAGAAATGAGAACAAAAAGACTCTGTCTTTACTTATGGCTACCACGAGTACCTGTGTGGTCACTCATATCTGTCAAAAGTGAAGAGGTAAAGGCTGTACGCCTGTCACCCTGGATGAACATCATCTTGACTAACACAGGAGCAGGGGAGCACCCACTAATGTTCAGCCAATCGGAGGAGGATGCATCTTCAGCACTGATACTGACACGAGCAAGCTGGCAAAGGGGCACAGTTTTATGAGGCATTTATGTTTGATGTGTTGTGGCTGGTGTTTGTGCATGATAAATTGCTGCACAATGTGCAGCAGGAGTGTAACAAGGTAAATGAGCAATCCAAAGATAATTTTGAAAGTGTGTATTTATTTATTTATTTGTATTTTTTTTTTTTTTGGTTTAGACTACATTACCTTGTAGGTAGATACATTTTGTATGCAAACAACGTATGGCATTTGTATCAAGACATGCTGTGCATATAGTCAAAAAAAGACTTGTTTAAATGCCACAGATGAGATGAAAAACAAATAAACCACACAAAAAATTAGAAACTTTAAAAAATAAACACAGAGAAAGAAAAAAAAATACTTTCGCTTAAGATGACGCCTAAAAGTGAGACAAACTTAGTGTAACGAGCATAAAGAACATTTTGACTAATACCATCTCACCTGTTTTTGTTATAAATGGCAAAAAAATAATAATCTTGCCGAGTTAAAATTAGTCTTTCTTTTTAACACAGCCTACATCTGATGAAATTGTAAATGAAAAACATCACTTCCTCTGCACCAGATGATATTTTCCAGGAGAACACCTACGCAGGTTGTTGATAATACCAGAGGGAAAATGTTTCATAAGTAGGACAAATCACTCATTTGCTTTATTTATACAAAAAAAAGAGAGAAAGAAAAAAAAGGGGCTAATTAACTTTCCCATTGAACAATATTGTGCAGCTTCACATTAGCGGTGCATCATAATTAGTTTTAGGAATAAAATACATTTACAAATTCTAGAGAAAATAGAGGTATTCTATTATTTAAGATGGGTGATGTTTATTTTGAAAATTCCTGTGACAAAAAAAAGGCATGTCAGCGAAGATATTGTAGTTTGTAGTGAAATTTTAAAAATATGAGTAGAATTTGTTTGTTTGCTGTGTTTTAATATTACTGCTCATCCTTCAAAATGTCATCTCTATTTTCCTCTGGGTTGTTTATACTTACCCCAGCAGACTCCAATAACAAATGTTTTAACTGTTTTTTTGCAGAGCAAGACAAATCAGTCCACTGCACCGATGAATGTCGTGCACTGGGACATTCTGACAGATGCTGGATGCCAAAGTTACGGGTAGGAAGCCAAGCAGACAGCGCAGATAATCGCACCAACCTTTTCATCCCTGTGGGAATGGATGCCATGGTAGAGACAGAGATTTATGGCACCATCAGCTGCAACAGCAGAAAAACCCTCACCACGTTTGGAAAAGAACAGCGGGACAGTACTATCCTCGTGGCCAATGTCAAACCTTACTTAAAATCGCAGCGTGCACTAAGTCCACCGCTACAAGAGAGCCCATCTGCGTCTAGCAGTCCCACCAAGAGCAGCGCGCCCCTGGACTTGGCCAACCAAGAGTCCAAAGAAGAGAGGGACGGGGCGTCAGACAGCAGTGCCTACGGCCCTCCAGATGGCCAGTGCTCCCCGCTGCACACTGAGCTGGAGGAGTCCTCCTACCTGACCTGTGAGCTCAGGCCCAAATCCCTGTCAAGCAGTCTCATTCACAGCTCTGTCATCAGTCAGGAGTGCGGGGGGTCGGATTGTGCTCTCGACCCGAGGGACTCCGGTAACTGACAGTTGAGGCGATCGCGCTCGCAGTCGCCTGCCAAGCATCTGATGATGATGATGATACCCACGATTGATGACCAAGAGTTGATTTATTTTGGCCCCCTGGTGGTGTGTGAACACGCATTGTATAACCAAAAACCATCCGCTTTCTATGTTTTCTTTTACGTTCGTTTGTTCCGTTCTGTTTTTTAGTTTGTGACTTGTTGTGTTTAGGTGAAATATGTGTCCTTGACTGCTGTGAGGGATTCCGGGCGGGAGGGG